AAAATAGCAATTCCTGCTTTTTGAATACGTTAACTTGAAATATTTGACCCTAAAAAACACGCGGAAACAATTTTTTCGACTGCGAATAAATTATTCACATTTTACTAAAAAAAAAAATCAAGAAAATTTTTAAAACTTCTTTAATTTTAAGGCCCATTATTATTTTTCAAAGTAGAAACAATACATTTATCAATAAAGTTGTTTGCGTTTAACTTTTTTGCCTTGGGTAACGGTTACAGAGTCGGTTAAAGTGTTTCCATAATTATGATCTTCAAACATCCTCCAGACTTAAATACTTTTGTTTTGTTTTCCTTCACTGCCATCTGACATATGTCTCTAACTAAATCATAAAAGTAATATTTTTACTAAAATTATCCCAATTTAGGATAAAACGCGACTTAGACGCCATATTAGTTTTGTATTTCTGTGAATTACGATTTTAAACAACGTTGCAGTTTGTACTAAATTAGGCTTCTAGCCAACGTCGGTATCCAACGTCGTTTCGACCCAAAAATTATTCTCCAAACTAGGGTTGGCACGAGGACAACGTTGTTTAAAATCCTAATTCACAGAAATACAAAACTAATATGGCGTCTAAGTCGCGTTTTATCCTAAATTGGGATAATTTTTTTACAATGTATCCCAAGCAGCATTTGGACGTCGGGACAACGTTGACACAACGTTGTCCCGACGTCCAAATGCTGCTTGGGATACATTTAAAGGGCGTTTTGTTTCTCCCGTACACGACTCCAGTATTTACAAAGTACCCGGCAGAACCACTATTTCTCTTGTTTTTTTTTTAGGAAATATAATGTATTATTATATTCGACGCAATTCGTGACACCCTGTAGAAGTGACTTGTCCTCGTTTCAATTTAAACCTTCCAAGCGTTCCGTTCTTTTGACAAAAAATACAAAATTAACTACATTTGGCTCTCTTCACAGTCGCAGTCGTCCCTCGAAAGTTGAAATTTTATTACCCTGTTATGTTCCTCAGCGACTGAAGGGTTTCATCTTTTATGGTCTCTTTATTGATCAGTCAACGCTCGTACCAAATTCGTTTAGAAGAAAAAGAGAAATGTCCGAGATATTTAGGTACGTATCTCGGAGTCTTGGTTTAATAATTTATATTCAGATTATTGATATACTTTTTTTATTTACGGTGAATTACCACCAATTACCAATTATAGCCAATTAATATATTTCTTGACTAATTTCACTTAGTTTTCTTATTCTGTTATGATTTATGACTTACAAGAGACAGAATATTTTATTTAACGGTTCTTTACAATTTCCATTACACAAACTAAAACTTAAAAAATAATACCACTACATACACTTTAAGAAGTTATTTTAAAAAATGTTCAAAAAATCCGCCAACATTTTGAGTACATGAATGCATCTTTTTAAAACTGACTTTTACCTGCTAGCTTTTATCACAGAACGACCGATAGACTTTAGTAAACTTCTCCGCGGTACGGGAGGACTCTTCGAGTGCCTCTCTTAATTCATAAGTTCTTTTGTAAACCTTGTTAACCATACAGCAAATAATTTTACACGCTCAACTTTATTTGAAAAATTCATATTTACAATAAAATTCTAGTTTATTTTAATTTACAAAGTTTGGATGTGACAGTTTCACATTTCTGACAGCAACAACGATTGAACTTGTTTCCATGACTAACTAAGTGAAATTGTTTAAAAATGATAGGAATTGGCTATAACTCAGTAATTTTTCGAAAAAAAAACCTATAGCATATATCGCTGAATAACTTAAAAAATTGCGCTTCTTATGAAGTCATGGCCGACTATGTTTGTGTCATATGTCAAAAATGACAGGCTTTAGAAAAAAGAAACGGAGAACACAATTACATTAAGGATGTGATGATCTACAACTTTTATCTGAAAACTTTTTGTCTATAACAGATTATAATGGAATTAAGGACAATTTTTAAAACAGCCGAATTTTTTTTTCGAAATATCTAGTAAGCCATGAACTTTTTAAAAAATCTGAGAGGTGCATATTTATGATCCCACAAAACTGCAATTCTTTCCCTATTTAACCGACTCTCCAGTAGTTTCCGAGATACCCATAGAGAACACCGTAGAAAACTCACCCTGTATATTCTAGTCAACTAAAGTGAAGCATGTTGAGAATTGAATTAATAAATTCAAACTATGATTAAAGAAAAACTTCATTGAAAAACTAAATAAAATAATTTCCTGCTGACCTGAATCAACCTTCTTAAAATTAATAATTTAAGAATTATCAACAGAAAATTTGATTTTTTATATGGGACACCCTGTATATTTGTAATTTATTGAAAAGAATTTAAAATTACCTTTCCAAAAATATAACACACTTGATATTTTGTTCGATTCTTCTTCGAGATATAGAGTATATAAAAATTCGCCGGATTTAAATAAGTAGGCTTTGAACGGCACCGGCTGTAATGCAAAAAAATTCTAGTTGTGAGCATCAATTAAAACGAAAATAATATTTGCTGTGAGAGATGCAGAATTTTATAACAATTTAAAATATATTTAACCATCATCAACACATTTAAACTATAGGTATCTAATAACATTAAAAATAAATAGCAAACCAAGACATGAAATTTTGCTACAGGTGTTCGACATATCGACCGTCTTCTGTTATGGACATACGGGGCAGTTTTTGAACTTTTCTCGCGGAATTCATTAACTCAGTAGGGGTGAAAGATACCCTCTCATAACTGCTAAGTATTTCTAATTCTTGTCTAGATTATACGGAAGAATAAGGAACCTTTATTCTTCCGCAAATATATCCATAGGATTAGATCCATGGACACTAAGTAAGGCGGCCTCGACGGCCAACGGCTGGGATCTTGGTTAGCTATTCAATTATTCTTGAAATTGGCTGCAAAAATTCAGCGTTCAGAGGCGGTGCGTCGTCTTGCTGGAAAAATATGTTTTCGAGTTCCATTAAAGGCATATCATCAATAAGCGGTCCAAAGCCTACTTGTTAAAAGTGGCGAACTTTTAAAAATTTGAAGGGGATTATAAATTCACTCTATAAAGAAAATTATATGTATCTTGTGTAACTATTAACTTGACATATCTTGTGTTTTATAGAAATTAAAAAGAAAAATGTCTAATATATGTTTAACTAGCTGACGAACCAATGTACATGAATTCAGGTTGAACAATGGAACAATGGTTGACAATGGAACAAAATATGATTATCTGATACCTATAAGTAGGTATGTCCAAAATGCTGCCGGATGCTTTGGGCTGACTTGTAGTATCTTTTAGTATTTTGGACCGGAAATACAGAGCAATAATGGATTATTAAAGAGGATAACAGGAAAATCGAAATATCAATTAACAGAAAAACTATTGAATAAAAAATCCGAATATAAAACAAAAAGATTGCTCGTGCCCGAACGGATTTAGAATGAGTTTTTTGCCTTTGACATGTGTGAATAATTTTAAACAAGATTGTTTAAATTGGAAAATGATGAAAGTTACCTCAGTTAGCCAATATATAATTTATGTAGTATATTTCAAAATTCTATAAATATATTTGTAATCGATTTTTAGCCTAGCTTTAGTGATAAGGTGCAGATAACGTAGTTATAAAAGTTCTACAAAAAAACTTCTAACCTACATGTCCCTTCCTTTTTAATCATTGTAAAATTGATATCCCATTTCCAAATACCTACTCTTTCTTCCAATTTTTTCCAAAGTCAAATAAGCGTGCTTTAGTACACTGTTCTGAAAATGAGATTCGCAATTCCTTATTTCTTTTTTAACAGATGCTAAAAGCTGTTTTTTTTAATATGTTGTTACAATATAACTTTGCAATTGTATAATAATTATTCTGCTTTATTTTATACAAAAATATTTATTATTTCAAATAAAACTGAATATTTCTAGGAAATACTTACTTCAACATCCCAATCCAAATCTGGCACTATATGGAAAGGATGATGTTGCTTGTCATGTAATTACTGTGGGTTACCGATACAATTTCACAAAATGAGCAATTTTTTAGGTATTCAGATAATAAATAGGTATTTCTATTCTATTCTAAGTGGAATATAATTAAAAATTCTCAATATATTTTGTATACTTGTGACTATTTCTATTTTAACAATGCTGGGATTGTAGACTCTTAAGTATTTGCAAAATTTTAATGTGTTATTGATATATAAAAAAGACCATCCAATAATAGTACATACGACCAAGCGATTAAATTTTTACATGTACAATGATAATCCTGATATAGTTGACTTGGATAGATTATTTTTTATTTTTGACAGGTGTAAATATTGTTAAATAAGGTAGACGGTATGGTTAAGAATCCAATTTAACTGATATAGTGTAATTATTAATTATACAGGGTGAGTCTTAAATAAGTGCAAATATTTTCAGGGCTGGCAGATCTCGATAAAAGAAACACATTTTTTCTTTGCCATTTTTCAAATAAGTCCAAAATAACCGGGATATTTTACTTAGAACATAAAAAAAAATATTTTTTTGCTTAAATTTTGAGAGCTACTGGATCTTTTCTGGATTTTCTTTCTTGTAAATTTAATCCACTATCTGTTGCCATTTTATGAAGATATTATGTTTTTTAACTAGCAAATAAAAATATTTCAAAAAATTGGAAATTTTCGATATTTTTTTTTTTGCGAAAAAAACCTCATAGACGTGTTTCTGGGGTCGAAATTTACTACCACTAAAGCTAAGTTTTCGCAAATATATCTAGTAAACAATAATAAACAACAGGAAAACTGGATGATGTTGAAGTATCAGTTTTCGAGTTAATATCAGATAGAAGATATATAAAAAAATACTATGCAAAACTAAAAGATATTTGCTTGAAATAACTCAATCTGGATCAAGTAGAATCATACAATATATCAGCTACTGTTATTATTATCATCAATTTGTATAGTAGATATTTTTACTAAGCAATACAAAACGGTATACAAAATTTAATAAACAAACACTTACTTGAATAGTGTATTCGAAGGGGTTCGAACGAACCATTTCCAAAACTTGCACCATATGGATACGTTGCCGTCGTCTACCGTCGTCGAACAAAAACAATCACGCAATAATATATCTCTACCAAAACGTAAAAAGACAGTCCTGCCACAGTCGAACTTTCTACCCCTGTTCGGCAGGCGCGCAATAAGTTTTGTGAGTGCGAGAGGGGCAGGCAGGCAGGCAGCAAGCACGTCGCCGACGGAGCAGGGCAGCAGAGTGAGTGCGTCTGACGCGCGGTCAGGGTTGCCTGTCGCCGGCGAGGGTGCACGCACATCGTCGGGGGAGCGAACGTACGCAGCCGAACGCAGGCCCAATGGCGCGCGTCCTCCGCACGCACTCCTCACCACGGCGATCGCTCGCCACGCTGTCACATCGATCGGGGGCCTTAGACTATAGGTGAATCAGATAGACACGCCCCTGACGGTCTCCACTTTGAAGAGAAGTGGCTCGGTTGTGTTTCTGAAAACAGTGACGTCACATCAGGGAGGGAGGCTGTTAAGTTTCTGGTTATCAATCCAAATAGGTTGGTTTGAAGAAGTCTTCTTCGCGGCTCTAGTCTAAACATGCATCGGGGATGTAGAATGTAGAATGTTTAGGAGGGGAGTTAATCACCGCGACCTTACAGATCTATTCGTGTTCCCCTTTCATGAGTTTTAACGAGTTATAACTCATCATACAGTCTCAGGGCTTTAACAAAAGCCAGTATCTGAGACGGCTCCACAAAAGCCAGCTCTCCATCCTCGACATCAGCCGTACGAAAGTTCATGGCACAAATGGTGGTCGTCTCGGCGCACTCAGTGATAAGGTGTTCTGGTGTTTCCCCATTTTCCCCACAGAATCTGCATTCGCCGTTGTTTCTCAGCTTCAGCCTACTGAGGTGTTCGTTGAGGAGACAGTGTCCTGTAAACCCCGTGACAATCCGAAGATTGTTTTTACTTAAATCAAAGAAAGCCTTTGATTTAAGTAAAAACAATCTTCTTTTTTTTTGTTGGAGGACACCCATTCCAGGTTACGGATGGAGTCTTCCAGATTCTTCAGTTCCGCTTTCAGTTGGTTCCCGCTTGGAAAGCAGAACGGTTCTAGTCCAGCTAGTGGAGTGTTCGCTTCTTTTGTAGCTAGATCATTTGCCTTTTCACTGCCTTCTATCCCTTGGTGAGCAGGCACTCAGATTAGGAGGACTTTATTTTCTTTGCCGAATTTGTTGAGGCTTCTCTAGGCATTCTTTGAACAACTTCGAATTGATGGTTACTGAGATGATCGCGTTTAGTGCTGCTTGACTATCGGATAAGATGGCTATTTCCTGTTTCTGATAGTTCCTATCTATGCATCGGGGATAGATTGATAGTCTTTGATTGATTAAAGTAGCAAGTGCGACCGCTTGTCGAACTCCAATTAGCAGCATTGCTGTTTTGATACCACTCAGTCTGAAACCATATCCTTGACGGTCTCTACTACCAAATCCATAAGCACACGTCAGTATATCCTCATAATTGTCTCGAAAAATCTCTTAAATATTTCAACATCATTTGTTTTCAAGGTACACCCAGAAATCATTGCATAGCTACTAGAAACAATAATAAAAATATGTTGGGAAACAGAACATATCCCGTCAACGCGGAAAGAAGGACTTGTGAAACTTCCCAAGAAGGGCGATTATCCCAGTGTAAGAACTGGCGAGGCATTACCTTACTTAACGACATTAACAAGATAATTGCTACAATCATCCAAAAAAGAATATCAGATGCCCGCGAACCGACCTTGAGACAAGAACAAGAGGGCTTTAGGCCTCAAAGATCATGTATCGATTAAATTAATACTCTCAGAATAATAATAGAGCAAACTCAAGAGTTCAAGTCACCATGGTGTTTCGATACTATAAAACACATAGCCATCTGGAAAGCTTTGAGAGAAAAAGGAGTGCCGAAAGTGAGTGATGAAATAATCTGCATGATTAAAATGCTTTATCATGATGCTACGAGCTGTGTATTACATAAAGGTCAAGTGGAGCAGAAAATTTCTATTGCAGTAGGTGTAAAACAGGGCTGTATACTTTCGCCGCTACCTTTTAACATCGTTCTGGTTGTAGCACTAAATAGAGCATTTAAAGAACCACTAGGAATACAATGGGAACGTTTAAGCAGGATAGAAGACCTGAATTACGCAGACGATCTATTCATCTCTACCCATTCACATTCGGATATGTCTCAAAAACTTCTTAGACCCCAAAAGAAAGCTAATAAAGTCGGTCTTTAAATCAACGTGGCGAAAACCAAAGAAATGAGGTCAAATACTCTCAACAAACAAAATCTATACCTCTCCAACTTAGCAAGTATGGTTCACAGCGATGGGGGAACAGAAAAATATATATAGAGGAAAGGATTTTGAACCACTTGCACAAAGAGCTTTTGGCATGCTCGCACCTGTGTGGAACTCCTCTCTATATAACAAAAACTAAAGTCCAGCTCTTCAATAGCAATGTCAAATTTATTTTGCTTTATGGATGCGAAACATGGAAGGTTACTCGTGGACTCATGGATCGCCTGCAGGTGTTTGTTAACAAGTGTCTTCGAAGAATATTGAGAATTTTCTGGCCCAATCAAATTTACAATGAAGAACTGTGGAGAAGAACATCACAGAATCAAATAGATATCGAAATTAAGAAAAGAAAGTGGGGCTGGATTGGGCACATTTTGCACAGACCTCACATATCGCAAGACAGGCACTTAAATGGAATCCACCGGGAAGACATTCCAGGAGAAGACCGAGGAATATCTGAAGAAGAACAGTAACCTCTGAAGCCCAAGAGATTAAGAAAATATGGGAAGAAATCAAACAGACAGCTCAGAATATGATCAGATGGAAACATGTCCCACGAATGGATGATATGACGGGAACATATATATTTATATATTTGTTTTCGGAATATTTTGTGGTATCCTTTGTTTCTAGATATGCTGATTTAATATGGATTTATAGTAGTATATTCCCAAGTATATTTTCAATTTTAAATGACGCCTGTCAGATTGCATAAATAAATTCGCTACAAATTTACAGACATTATTAAATAAAAATAATATAATCTATTAAAATTATTTAAGAAAATCGCTTTATATTCAGTGTAAATTCAAAAATATTAATATTATTTCTGTTTCTCCTAATGGTGTCACGTTTTAATTTATGTTGATCACTTAACATATACTCAAAATGTGTCTAGTTACTTTATCATTTAAGGTATCTACTATAGTCAAAAGGATCCAGTTTTCTGTATATGTTGATAATTTACAGATATATGTAAAATATAATAATATATTGTTTTATTGTATTTTGGTTTTGTTACTTTCCCATTACATTTTGTATTCTGGACCCTATGAATGCTGACATAGATTAGATTTAGGAGCATTTACAGTTATAGAGTTATAAATGTCTATATCTTTATAAAGGGGTACATTTTTTTTAAATCTAGTTTTTTTGCCACTGGGAAAGAAATCTACAAAACAAATAACAACACTGCATTGAATCCAAACAGAAACCAACAGTTTGTCAGTAACTTTTTAATAGTACAATAAATTTGCTAAATCAACATTCGGTTGTAGCAATAACCAAGCTTGTGGAGCTTTCTACTTTGGCTAGCAAAATTTGTTAAAATGAAGCTGCCTGGTTATTGCAGCCACCCCTTCAATTGTAATTCATGTTGGTTACATAATACCGTCAGAAAATTGTATCCAGACACTTTATGGTTTAGAGTTACCACTGTCGTCTTCAAAGAGATCGAGTTTTCGGTTCGCTCTCGCTGCTGCCGACGGATGCTACGCAGGAAAAAATTCTTTGTGAGGGTGGCTCGTGTGTCGGGGGAGCGGCGGGCGGCTCTAGGTGCGTTCGAACGCCCCACGGCGGCGGGTTCATTATCTGGAATTTTGACGGTTGATTTGTTTTATAGGTTTTCGGGGTGTGTAAGAATTCGTACGTTTCGTCCCATTATTTCGTTGTCGAATTGTGGAGATGGCCGTGATTTAATATAACTATTCCTCGTATAGAACCTTATTTTTTCGATATTGTACCTAAAATGTTACTCTATTCTTGGCGGTGCGTTATAGTGAGAATCGCGCCTTATTCTTGTTCCTTCTCGGGAAGCGTTCTCCAAAAATAAATTCTTGAGGATTTTACTACACAATTATGCCAAATCATTTACAGTAATAGATTTCAAAAATAAGTTTTGATTGCTTAAAGCAACTTAATCCTCTTGAATGTTTCTGTTATGCCACTTCATTTTAGCAAATTCTTTTAGTTCTTTTTTCAGTTAAAAAAAACGAGTTTTGGTATGTTAGTATATGACATAAATTAGGATTAATTGACGTATTCAATTGTCTTCGGTCACTTCCTGTTTCACCGGAAACGACTGCAACTTTTGATTCTTAAATGGCACCCTCGGTATTTTTTTACTTTATTCGAGAAAAAATAACGCTCTGAATAGAATGAAATATCAGATGTCAACTTTTGACATTTTCGCATATGGTTTATTTGAAATTATAACTTGCGGTTCGTAACCAAAATTTGACTCGAAATACTCAGTGCGTGGTATCAAATTATTCGTAAAAAACTGCTTTTTCCAAATATGCTAATAAGCCACCCTCGTTCCATTTGAAAAAATTGAGATATGATTAAAAATACGACTTGAGCATTTTCTAACTGGCCAGGAAAAGATACTAAAAACATTAGACGATCAAATCTATTTTTCCAAGGCTCCTTGATTAAGAATTAATGTTTTTAATATAGCCATGGCACTCTAGATTGAATTTTAATATACGATTTTTTATTAAGCGAGAATATCAAAAATTGACATATGATATGTCATTCTATTCAGAATGTCATTTTCTATCTAATAAATTAAAAAAATATACCGAGGGTGCCATTTAAAAATCAAAAGTTGTAGTCATTTCCGGTGAAACGGGAAGCAGGGTTGTTAAGTAGTTTATGAAGCAAAAAACTACGCCAAAAACTACGCGTAGTTTTTTGTATTAACAAC